GTGAAAATCTGTGACCAAATAATAATGTTTTAGATAATAAATTTAGTATTCAATTTTCAAATTACATTAAAATATTATTGTTTTTACTATTATTATTGAAAAATGAATAATAAAAAGTACGAAAAATTAACTATTTTCTAATGTAATTCAAACTAATTGATAAATAGTTAATAAAATATAATAAATCTATAATTTATTAAAATTCAATGAGTAGTTAAATCAAAACTCCGATACAAACGGAAACATAAATTGCATTATAATAAGCGTAATGTTTATTTAGAAAATTAATCGTTACATAACATCAACAATAGATATAATGGTCATAATGTGGTGAGATTTGTAGCACATGGTAAACATAAATAGCTCACTCACGGGACAGTCGTTGTCCGTCCGTTTACTTCTTCCTATGTTTACCGTTTGCTCCAAATTTGTTGGACTTCTTCGGCGGCGGTTTTGAATTGTTTTGCTTATTATTACTATTATTGTTACCCTTTTTGTTAAAACTCCTATTGTTTTGCGGTTTGTCGTCGTTTCCGTCAAACTCTCGCTTTTTGTCAAACTTTCGCTTTTTGTCAAACTTTTGTCCTCTTTTATCCTTAAAATCATTGGTTTTGGATTTCTTAGACATTCGACTAAAACATGAAAAATAAAAACATTAAAAATCAATACATTATTACAAATAATGACTTAACGCTTACTTTTTAACAATCGGTTCAATCGCTTTATTGATATCCAGTTTTGGCTTTTTATTCATGATATCGTTAATTATTTTAAGACTTTTGTCCTTCTCTTGGCCCTGATCTCGGAAATTGGGCTCAAATTGTCGTTTTTTGCCACTGTTTTTGGGCGCCTTCTCGTCGGCCAGCTTTTCGGCAAACCTACCGACAGATGCGGTCGACTGTTTGGCCAACACTGAGGCCTTTTTGAGCTGTTCCTGAGACTGATTCAAGTGAGGCATCACTCCGTGATTGCCGGCGATCTTCATCTTCTGCGAACGACCGATATTCCGGAGCCGTTGGAACTCATTCTTCGCGATCCTCTCGTTCTTCTCGTCGGATCTCTTATCGAAATAATTCACATTCGGGTCTGAGGTTAAAGACAAACACAACACACAATCACATCAGTTGTTCTCAAGACAAATGACAAGTTGTCTCAACAATGAGATCCATACCTGCGTTATCGGGCACTTCAATGGCCCAATCGTTCTGTTGATTGATTCCTCTGAAGCCGAATCGTGGTTTCCAAGAGCTGCTCACTTCATCCCAAACCAGTTTGTCTTTCTTAGTCTTCTGAATGCCTTTCTCTTTGGCATAAGTTTCCCATTTTGTGGGCGGTTTTGCTTTGGGAATCGGTTTACTTCTGGGCAACAGATACTCAAAATGCTTCGGCAGTTGTGCCACAACCGCTTCGTCCACTCGTTTGGTCTCCAATTTCCACAACTCGTTGCAAATCAATTGACAATTATCTCGAGCCAAGTCTCGGAGGTATAGCTCTTTGTTAGCCCTGCGGACGACAACCAAAAACACATCCGACCATTAAAAACAAGATAATCACCAGAAATGGTAACACAAATGATACAAACTTTAAAGCTTTAATGTCCAGAGGATTGGTATCGACGGCCAGCAAGTGTTTCAAGTCAAATGTCAATGGGATCTGTTTGTCGACTGTCACCGATTTGGTGGCCTTCGCCTCATCTTCGGACGCCTTCTGCAGCAACTCTTCGACAAAGTTGTTGTCCATATTATGTGTCAACAAAAACCTAATAAACAA